TTTCTCCACCTCACTTATTTCCCAAGCTCTAAAACCCTATTGATTCTTCAGAATTCATTGTGGCTTTACATATATTACTTTTTCTTTGGCCAGCATGCAGTTGGGGGCAGCATGCTTCGAAGTCCTCACTGTCATCTGAGCAAACTAACTTAATCAGACTTGTTCAAACATGGCCCATTATCTTTTCATTTGTGACACTTTGGGAGCATTTGCTTTCTGGTGGCCAAAGGTGGAAAAAGAGACTAAGAGAATTTTCCCTAATTTTGAGGCTTTTGTTGGAGGTGAACATCTGCAGGTGTAAAGCACCAGAAAACAGGAAAAACAAGTTGGACGACTTGCATTGAGCCCGTAGTACAAGGGCCTGTGGCTGATGGAAGTGGGATGGGCTGGTTGTAAAACTGGAGATGATACTTTGAGATTAACCTTTTCTTCCTTCTGCCCAAGGTATTTCTCCATTTAGCAGGCAGGAAAGCCTTTCTGTTAACCTCCTGAGGGTAGTCTTCCTGTACCCTGAACCCAACAAAGGCACCTGGTGACAAAGCATCTACCCTATTCATAGCAACTGTGTGTGGACAGCTGCTTTCACATAATTAGATAAATAGGGGTTTCTCAGGTTGCAGCAAGGAATTTAAGACAAATGATAATAATAATAATACTCTTTGTTACAGAAAGTAGAAAACCTAGCTGTAGGGGCTTCCTTATGCCATGATTTAATTCTGAAGTGGAAGTTCGTTTTGCTAGAAAGAGCTTGGCTTTGGAGTTGGATAATCCAGGGTTAAAATTCTTCTCTACCATATCACTTTCTCTGTGACCTTCAAGTTAATTTAACTTAGTGGCTCTATTTCCCATCTGAAAATACTGATAATCCTATCTCACTGGGCAATTGTGATGAATAAACAAATTAGCCTTTGCCTGGCACATGGTAGATACTCAACAGAGGAACTTTCCTTTACTTCTTAGAAGTGGATGGTTCCTCACATTACCAGACCAGCTGAGTGTACCTCTAGCCAGACTCTTTATTTATTTATTTTGGTACTAGTGATTGAACCTAGGGGTGCTTAACCATTGAGCTAATCCCCAGTTCTTTTTTTTTTTTTGAGACAAAGTCTAGCTAAGTTGCTTAGGGCCTCACTTAATTGCTGAGGCTGGCTTTGAACTTGAGATCCTCCTGTCTCAGCCTCCCAAGTTACCAGGATCACAGGCATGCACCACCAGCCTGGGCTAATGGCAACTTTTTGCTTTTACTAATTCCAAGTGACAGGAAGTTAATGTCAATAGGGGTGAGTGTTTCTTGCAAACTTTGTTTTGCTAGAGAAAGTCTTTTTTTCAAAGTGACCTAAAACTTTCTTGACCTTTTTACATCCTCTTCTGACTTCAGAAAGTCAGGTGGGGGAAGGGAGTCACCTGTGATTCTATAGCTTCCTCTTGGGTCCTGTGAGGAAGGCAGAAGACTGGTAGGTGTCTGGAGAGCACTGAGCTCTCTAAAGCAGAGCTGTCCTCTTTGTTTTTCTTTGGCAGCCTACTGGGATTTACATGTTTTCAGTAACTCTCCAAAGAGGTTAGAGTAGTATTAGATGTTGTTACAAAGATTTTTTTCCCCACACATGACAAAATCAGAACCCTCTTAATAAGTGTAATTAAATTTTGAGTGACAATTTGCCCTTATTATAATTACCTCATATGTAGATATTCTGAAAACATATTCGTTTAATTTTGACATTTCAGAGGTGCTTAGTTCTTTTTTGATTGGAATATGAGTCTTAGTAAATCTTCCCCTTAAATTAGTGGTTAGTACTCCTCAAATATGGCCAGCTTGAGTGCTTGTCCTTTTTTGAATTTACTCTCGAGTGAGTCTGAGGCATTCTTTGGTTGGCTTGATGTATTCTCCCCCACTCTTCCACTCCCACAGTCCCAGCATGTCTGTCTTTCTGCTGCCTTTGTAAAGTTTAAATGTTGAGTGGGGAGAGTGGCGCCAGGAACTCCTGAAGCAGATCCCAGCAAAGGGCTAGCTGGGTTCTGCCGAGTGGATTTCCACATGCCTGTGGAAGCCAGAAGCCTTCAGCACTGGAGTCTCTTCCAGGCTTGAAGGCTCTTCTATAGGAGGTTGAGGTCAGCCTGTGGCTCCCCCTGCTTCAGAGCAGAAAGTTCATCATTTGGCTTTGGGGAGAACTGATTCAAACTTTTCTTCACCCTTCATACTCAGTTTAAGACAACCTTTTAAAATTTAATTTTCATCCTTCTGCCTTAATTTCTTAAGGCTATACAAGTTACTTAACGGAAAATGTTCATCATTTACTGTGCAGAATGAAGCCTAGTTATTTTTCTCAGGTTCTAAATCTTTAAGGATTTACTGCAAGGACTGGAGATGTGACTCAGTTGTAATGTTTGCCTAGCATGTTCGAAATTCTGCATTCTATCCTAGATGGGGAATGGGAGTGTTACTGAGACAATTAGAATGGTAATTCTTTTCTTCTTCTTCTTTTTTTCCTTTAAAGAACCACCATTTTGTCAGCTGGGGATCCTGCCAAAAATAACAATGAAACTCAGGAATGCCTTATCTCTTCATAGGAAATACAGGCTGGGACTCCTTCCATAAATTACTAATACCTAATCACTCTGCATTGGCCTCTCCATTTGCTTCTACTGTCCTCCAAAAGCAATAGTATTAGGTTTATGTTCACTTTGCATTCAGACCATGAAGTGGGAGAGAGGAAAAGTAATATTTTAGTTTGAGGAGTAAAGCATTAAAAAGGAAAAACATTTATCTTCCTTCTGTTCTTATAAATACATTTTGCCTCTGTATCATTCTTAAGCTCCTTTTGAGAAGAAATGCTGTTGATTATTTCTTTGAATCTAGGATCACAGCTGGGTGGGGATTTTTTAAAGTTTGGAATTCTTCATGAGTTTGGGAGTCATCCTTGCACAGGAGCCATGCTAATAACCTTCTCTGTATTTTTCCAATTTTAGTATATGTGCTACTGAAGCAAGCACTGCCTTTAAACTTTATGCACATGTATTAAAAAGGTGTGACTAAGATCTATGTTGGAGGGTGGAGCTGGTGGTCACGTTAGTCTAGTTCTGCTGACAGTGGCATAAATAAAGGTCAGTTCAGAGTGGCTGTAGATAAGATGCTTAGGTATACACGAGGTAGACACAGATCAGTGATCAGCCCAGGCATTGTGCAGAGCTTTGGAGACTTGAAGAGGGAAGTAGGAGACTGGCCATATGACCAATTTTACTAGGTCTAGGTCCTTGGGAAAGTTGTCCATCTCCCTGAGCCAGAACTTCCTCATTTCTGAAAAAGGAGTAATACCTGTAAAGTTGTGCCTAGTAAATGACCTGTCAGTTTAGTATTGTAAGCAGTCACAGTGGTGGCTAAGAACACTCCATTGTCTACTAAAGTTAGAGATAAGTGAACAAGCCATGGCTGTGAGCAAGCAATTGTTTGGCACTTGCTCTGGTGGGAGGTTTGTAGGCACAGGTGTGGGGAGATTGGACAGGTTAGTGCCTCACCCAGCAGGAACTTGATTTGAAGGCTTATAGGAGGTGCTGGCACTTGAGCCAAGTCTTAAAGCCCAGTGAATGCAGAGCTGGCAAAGAAAGGGGGAAGGGCAGCCCAGGTGCTAAGAAATCTCTAAAAGGACCCCTGCCTGCCCATTCACTTAAAAGTTGCCGCTAGAGGGGAAGCCAGGACCTGAAGTGGAAAATGGATTTTTAAGAAAAGGAAGTCTCTTTAAGTTATGAAGACTTGGATTAAGAATGGGCCTTTGGCTTGGAACATTTGCCTGTGGAGCTTGGTGTTGTGTTCTGTTAAAAGGAATTCAGTGGGAGCCAGGAATGGTTCCCATCTGGTCCCCCCTGTGGTGGGATCTGAGTACACTCCTTGGAAACCCACCCACTGGTTTGGCAGTTACTGCCAAATTCCACTTTCAGAGGGAAATGATCCCATTCCTTTCTGACTCTGAGTGTTAAATAGTCTAGAAAACCTCTGTGTACTTTGAGGAGTGGATAACATCTTTGGGTGTGTGATGTTTCAATGATAAGAGAGGTACTTACCCTTCTTTTAATGCTTTGAAGAGTGGAAAGCCCAAGAAGTGTGTGTGTGAGAGTGTGTGTGTGTGTGTGTGTGTGTGTGTGTGTGTGTGTGTGTATGTGTGTGTGTGTGTGTGTTTTGCAGAGAAATACACTGCATTGAAGCTGAACCTAATTGCAAAGGTTTATAATAGCAAAATAATTCATTTATACATCTGCTGTTTCCTGAAAGTTGTTAAGCAAATTCTTTGATTGGGCTCAATGGCCTTAATTCTAGAATCTAGAATTAGGAGTCTGAGCTGTGTTCAGAAGGCATTGTGGTAAATGAGATACCCCTGAGGCACCCTGTCATGTCATTTAATCATCAACTTCCTCCAGAATCACTGGCATTACAGGCGTGTGCCACCATGCCCACACAAATCTCTTCTTCAAAGAACTGTCTCGGAAATAATTTTGAGTTGCTTAATTTCTTCTGTGTTTTAACATTCCATGTTTAGGGATGAATGGATTAAGAGCTGGTGTCCTTTGTCCTAGATCAGTGATTTTCCAAGTACAGTGTTCAGACTGCAGCAACAGGATTACCCAGAGAACTTGTTAGAAATGCAGATTTTCCTTGCCCTGACTCAGAACTAGCCTTGATAGACAAGCTTGGTTTTCCTAATGTGGAGGTGGGGTGGAGGTGGAACAATGACCATGGATAATTATTCTACCTAATTATATCCAGATAAAAATCAGGCAGGATTTTTCCTACTTCATAATGCATTTAGGTCTTATTCAAACTAACAATTGCACTTTATGTGTTTATGAAAAATACTGAATTGATTGTTAATGCTGATAACAAAACAGCAATCCTTACAAGTTTTTAATGACCCAAATAAATATTAGAAATTTTATGTATATGATAATTTTGTTTCCCCTTTAAATTATAGGGTATAGTAACAACTATATTTCTTGGGGCTGTTTTTTAGGTTAAAAATGTGTCTGCAGGCACACAAGACATACCTCCACCCCCATCTGACTACGTGGAGAGAGTTGATAGTTCCATGGTGTACTCTTCCAATGACAAAGTGAATGGCAAGCGGTCGTATCCAGAGTCTTCCTATAAGTCAACACCACCGTAAGTTGAATCTCCCTTACTTTGATAGAATGGGTCTACAAATGAGTATTAGCATATATTGAAAATTAATTTTTTTTGTGCCACCTTCCTTCAAAAATATGCAACAGTACACATAAAAACCAGACACTGATCTTTCTTTTGTATTACAATGATCTTTGCTTTATTGGTAGAGACCTAAATATGACTTGAAAGATTTGGATGGGGAGAATGAGGTCCTTTTCCTCTTCTAAGTTGAAAATGTGTTTTTTTATTTGGTGATTTAATTCAGCACCTACATTGTGGTCTTCACTCTAGAAATGTGGTTCTGTATGCTCTTGCTACTATTTCTAATTGTGAAGTTTAGGGGAGGGTGGAAAGAAGTTACTGAGTATAATGCTAAGTATAATTCTCAGTTTCTCTTTTTGACAATAGTTATTAAATCTCTTGAATGGAAGGGAAAAATTGAATGTCGATTAACCCTACCCACATACATGTTTATTAAACTAGAAAGTTTCATTTGAATTCAGATTTCTGGTGTATTAATCATTTTTCATTGTTGTAACAAAATACCTCAAGCATGCTACCTTTATAAAGAAAAGAGGTTTATTTAGCCCACAGTTCTGAAAGGTCAAGGGGATGGCACTGGCATCAGCTTAGCTCTAGTGATCTCTAAAGACTTTCCAATAGGCTTAACCCCTCATAAAGTTTCCACATTACATAGCGTCGCCACAATAAGGACCAAGCCTCCAATACATGGGTTTTTGGAAGACACACTCAAACCATATATCCAAACCACAGCATCTGATTTCTCATTTACCATGCTGAGTCCTTCATATTGTAGGGGCAAGGTTTAGATATGCTTCATAATTATGGTGGCAACTCTGAAATATCACATATATCATGAACATCATTCTAAGAGTTGTAGTATTGATGTTGATCATGTATTGTTTGTTTCTTTTCCTTCACTGATACTGTGTGTCTTCTGAAAAGGAGGATTCTTGTGCATCTGTTTTCAGTAATTATCTTGAATAGCTGTACAATACTGAGCCAAGTGCTCCTGGGTATACGAAGTCTGTGTTCTCATAGACATGGCAAAACAAAGGTGGAAGAAAGTGCTTAACTACACTGAGAGGCCAAAATAAGAACAGCAAAGGCATGTGAAGGAGTATGTATGGGAATAAGGATTAATTCAAATCTACAAAAGGGTCAACCAACCTCCAGACCTGATGACCCAGTAAGGTTGAGAATATCTGAGTGAAAAAGGTAGCTGGGAAGTACAGGGCTGATTATCTCATATGCATTGTATGTATTTTGACTTAATATGACTTGTATCTAAAAGTAGGTTTAAAGGTTATTTAGTCTATACATATTCTATGATTCTTTTTTTTTTTTGGTGGTGGTGGTGGTGCTAGGGATTGAACCCAGGGCCTTGTGCATACTAGACAAGCACTCTACCAACTGAGCTATACCCCCAACCCCATCCATAATTCTGAATTTATATATACTTCTCTTGCTAAGTATTTTGTTTTTAGCTTTCATGCTAAAAACAGGTATGTTACTACGTAGTGTTTTAAAGGGTATAGGAAAAGGAGAGGTGGAAAACTTTCAAGGTCAAAGATTTATAATATTAGTAACTAATATCATAAAATTATGGCCAAGACACTTGCTTTATATGTTTTTTCCCTTTTTTCATTTCATTTGCCCTTTACCTTCTTCCCTCTCTGTTCCCTACCTCTCAAGTAGACCCACTGCATTCAAAAAGTTTTATCTTCTACCCCAAAGCAAGAAGCACAGAAGCTAATTCTTGGCAGAGTATCTGGGAACTTGTTAATCATTGACTCAGGGAGAAAGTCACATTTTCTCTCTACTAGGACTAGCATTAACATAGCATACAAAACCTTGATACCTGAATACATTTACAAAGAAAAAATAAATACCACCTCCACCCCCAACTACACACACATTCTCCAAAACTTTAGGGTTCTGCAAGAAATTAAGTGAGATTAGAAATCTCAGACTCTGATAACAATGAGAAATCACCTGGAAAATGGTAAGCCTGGAAGATAAAGCTCAAAATTGTGACTTCTGTGAGTTGGAAGCAGTAGGAAGGAAGAAAAACAATTTTCTTTTGACATTTTCAATAGTTGGTTTGGATAGCCAGACTTATACTCAGAAAGTCTCAGCCCTTTCTTTGATCTTTTCATTTTTTTTTTCTTGCCCTTCTACCACAGAGGAAGGTGACTTTGTACTTCTGTTGCTTAGAAGTAGTTTATGTTTGCCCCAGCTTTTGGTATTTTATTCTTGTGTTAGGCTTGTTTTCATGCTGGTGGCAGGAACAGTATATGCAATTCAATTTCTCATGCAAGAAGAAATAATTGCATTAGAAAAATAATAAGTATAATGGTAATCCTTCCATTCATTCTATCTGGCTTCAAGATTAACATAGCATTTTTTAAAAGAATATTTAATGAACTCTTTCATTCATTTCAATATAAAGATTTGTAGTTTTAAGGTTTTAAATCATTTCTAGGTTTTCAAAATTTTATCTTAAAAAGAGAATTATTATATGGTGGTATAAAATTAATATTACAAAGAGCTTATCTCTGAGAGTCAGATAAGCTACATCCTCTTCCCCACGTGACATTTCATGGAACTGGAAGAACCTGTACAAAATCACCATCATCATCATTTTCCTGACAGCTTTTTATAGAGCAAGTCCCTGGCACGAGGCAGATAAACACCTCTTAAGATCAGCTTGAAATGAAATCTGAGATCCATTTTACTTAGAAGTTTAAAATCCCCCCTCCAACCCGTGTCAGACCTTAAGAACTGCTGGTGTGTATCAGAGGATCCTGAGAGAGTGCCATAACGAATGCGGCAAGCCAGGCATCTGCTCAGTGCTGAGCATGTAAACCCTTGAATGCCTGTGTCTGCATGCAAGTATTGCTGAGTGCTTGTTATTGCTGCCCTTTGTGGTTATGATATACTGGCCGAGCTGTAGTGTACTCAGTGGCCACTGAACACTGACCTCTGTTTTAGGATGCCTGAAGTGGCTCAGGAGCTTCCCCTCACTTCACCCATGGATGACTTCAGACAGCCTCGCTACAGCAGCAGTGGTAACTTAGAGACACCTTCAAAAAGGGCTCCCACTAAGGGAAGAGCAGGAAAGCCCAAGAGAACAGAGCAAGACCACTATGAGACAGACTACACGACGGGTGGAGAGTCCTGTGATGAGCTGGAGGAGGACTGGATCAGGTAGAGTCCCTCTCCTCTTCCTACAGCCACTTGCATGTCCTGAATATCAACGTGGCCAGCCAGGTTTGGAGTTGTTGCTTCTGGTACTGGGTTCTGTGGTGTGATTTTATTCTTTGCCAATGAGGACTGGAGACAGTTTTTTGTGTTGTGTTATGTTGTGTTTTTCCTTAGTGCCTTTTTGTAACTTAGATGGAAATGGAGGCAATTGCTTGACTGTAATCATGTCTTAAACACACTTTCAACTTCCCCACAAAATGGCTGGTGAATTCCTCCAGTGTCCCCTAACAATAATCACCCAAGAGAGATTTTTTCAAGTTAAAAAAAAAAAGTATAAAGGAATTCTGTTTTACTGATTATAAAATTCCCGCCCAGATCAGTGAGTGTGTTGTGGCTTTCCTTTAGCAATTCCCCTTAAATTAAACTTTCATGATAAAAACCAGAGTTTCTTTTAAAGGTTAATCCAAAGAACTCGGGCAAACAGTTTTGTAAACAATTGCAGTAATAGTTTATAGAGTTCTGGCCAATGTTGTGGTTAACTTGTGTCACTGTTGGTTTTAGTCCATCACTAGGTACACATGGACAGAGTGCAAAACCTTTTCTTGCCCCAGTATTCTGGGGATTGGGACACCAGGCAGAATCAGTTGTGGTGTGCTTGGTGGTTTATGAAAACACTGCTTCTCCAGGTTTTAGTAGGGGCAGGTGGGACAGGGATAGCTCGAAATCCCTTGCTCACCAGTGATTCTAGCACCTCATCTTCTCCTTCCCCCAAGAGTTTTTTTGACATGCTTCAGCCATCTAGCTGTAAAATATTTGCCTAACTTGTATTATAGATGATTTAACTGAAAACTCAGAAATCCTAAATTTTTTGTTTCCCTTTTGATCAAATCATTAATTTCCCCCCATGAAAAATGAAAATAGTAAACTATTAGATTTAGAACGTGAAATTTCATATTAGGATAAACAATTCAGAGTATTTTCCTCAATGTGTCATGAGTTGATAGCATCATCTTCATTTGCAAGGGGTTGCAGTATATTCAGAGAGATAAGTGATGACAGAATTTGTTTTCCTGATACAGTAATGAATTGCCAGATTATTTGTCCAATGAGCACGTTTTTTTACTCATTTTTTAAAAATTGTAGTTAAAATGAAGTCATTCTGTCCATCTATATTTGTTCATTTTTATGTGGTGCTAAGGATCAAATTCAGTGCCTCACATGTGCTAGGCAAGCACTCTGCCACTGAGCTACAGTCCCAGCCCCTATTCACTTATTTTTTGAGAAAAAGTAGAAAGAAGTTTTATTGCTTTGCTAGCGAAGGAGAAACACAGGGACTCCTGTCTCAGATACTGTGATTCTGCTCATCAGAGGGAATAGGGAACTTTTAAAGCGCTGATTCACAGGCTACATTCCAAATGTTCTCTGCCCAGAGTTGTAATTCATTATTATTTGGATGAGCTAGTCATTTTTTAGTTCTTCTGGTGCCACCCCCACATCTGAATTACTTCATTCTTGTGGTGGGGGTGTGCTCAAGGACAAATACCTCTACCTAGGATGGGGAAGAAGGGTAATCCTTTTTTCCCTGAGATTAAGGAGCAAAAGACTAGGGAGAGGGAGGAAGAGAGGCAGAGAAAGAAACATGTCCATTTAAAAAATAAGTTGCAGTAGCAGAATAGCAAATGCTATATTCAAACCATAAAGTGAACCACTATTACATTTCCCCATTGTCAATTTCTAAGGAAAAATGTGTGTCAACATCTCCAAGCTTCTTTCTGTTGAGAGAGGGTGAAGTTAGGTAGGGGAAGTGACCCGAAGGCCTTGTTCTCTGTCAGGTAGGACATGGACAGTTAAGGGTATTTGGCATCAGGTTAGTCTAGAGGTCCATGGTGTTTGTTGGCAGGTGACTAGACAAGGCATACATAGGGCAGGGATCATGCAGATGGCCAAGGGTGTTACAACTTCACTGGGTTCAGATTCCTTTTTCTCAAAGTGGACCAAGATGGAGCAAACCATCTCCTAACTCTCCAGCAGTTTGCTCTCAAGAAATTCACCAGCCCCCTTGCTTCTTCCTCATGGAAGTAGGGTTGCTTGGAGTGCCAAATCTTGAAAGAAAACTGGAGTAGGAGCTGCTCTCAGGTCCCATCTGGGTCCTCAATTTGTTACTGAAAACTTAGCCCTTGTCCCCCATGCCAATCCAATAATGAGGACACGATTTTGACAAAAAGAAATAAGTTTTATTGCTTTGCTAGCAAAGGAGAAACAAGGGATTTCTGTCCCAGGGGCTATAATTTTTTTTTTAATATTTATTTTTTAGTTGTAGTTGGACACAACACCTTTATTTCACTTGTTTTTTATTTTTTATTTTATGTGGTGCTGAGGATTGAACCCAGGGTCTCGCACGTGCCAGGCGAGCGCTCTACTGCTGAGCCACAACCCTAGCCCCAAGGGCTGTGTTCTTGAGCACATGTTTTTACATGAGCATGTTGTTTTTTTTTTTTTTTTTGGGGGGGGTAATATCTACTTTTATAATAAAAGAACAAAATATACTATTTCTTTTCTTTTTTTAATAGAAATGTACCATTTTATTACAAAGCCTCACAAAAATTAAAATAGTATCTTTCTAAGTCTAGGAAGCTAGACTACCAACCTTCACCTGTGGAACTGGGGGGAAGACAGGGCAGTGTGAGTTTCTTGGCTCTCTTGAGGCCAGTGGGAAGGTAAGAAAACAACCAATGGCTCATTTTAGGAGTCTGAAAAGTACAGGGGGTCCCTGAAGACCCACCCATCCCTTCTAGAACACTTGGTAAGGGCACCTTTCCAAAGCTACTAAATAGACCCTTGTCATTTTAGGATTTTTTTATGGTTACATCCCTTCCCCCCAGATCTGCACTGTAGATGGTTCAAAGAGGGATGGGGAACAAGGCAAGTGCTGGAAGTTTCTTCAGCACAGCTGCCTTGGGATCAGGACCCTGGTTTCTATCTAGTCCCTTGGGACATTTATATTTAATACAAAATATGCTATTTCCACTTAGGAAAAACAAGACCAAAAATAATTAAATAACCCAGCCTGAAGACTGTAGGTGGTAGTAGGAAGCAGCCACTCCTAGTAAGCCACTGTGCTGCTGCAGTGACCAAAACAGGCTTTGGGTTCCAGAATTTATTTTAAGACAATAAACACAACCATTATCATGTGATTTTTGGGTTAAAAGCAAATGTATTTTTATGACTTGGACCTTAAATTTCATAACTGATTTTCTACTTTATTTTTAAAACTCATGAGAGAAAAACCACAAGCAGTAATATAAAAAGTAACATCTTTCTTTTTAAATTTTTTTTGTTTTTTAGTTGTTGACAGACCTTTATTTATATATTTATATGTGGTGCTGAGAATCGAACCCAGTGCCTCACACATGCCAGGCAAGTGCACTACTGCTGAGCCAGAGCTCCAGCCCAAAAAGTAACATCATTCTTAATGGAAGATATTGTATCCCATCTCCCTCCCCCCATTAAAAAAAAAAAAAAAGAAAAAAGTAAACAAGGGAAAGTCATTCTCTGTAGTCTACCGGCTTTATTATCTTTGAAGGATACTGATCTTACGTCTGCTAAGGATAAATATGTAGTCATTTTCTCTCTTAATTCTTAGGGAATATCCACCCATCACTTCAGATCAACAAAGACAACTCTACAAGCGAAATTTTGACACTGGCCTGCAGGAATACAAAAGCTTACAAGCAGAACTTGACGAGGTCAATAGAGAACTCTCTCGTCTAGATAAAGAATTGGATGACTATAGAGATGAAAGTGAAGAGTACATGGTAAATTCAAACCTGATATTTATATATTGCATAGAATTTGATTTCTAATCTATGGAGAAATAGCATCCTTTATGTTAAAGTTGATATTTTTTTTTTTTTGCTAAAACACAATTTCATAGTTGAAATGAGTTTTGGATGACAGTTTTTCCAAATTGTTGATTGTACTAAGAGTTATAAAATCATATTATATGTACCTCTACTCCTTTCTATTTAAAAGAAAATAGCCAGATTATTTTTTTCTACTTGTAAACATAATGTATACTTTCTGTAAAAAACTCAATACAGAGGGCTGGGGTTGTGGCTCAGAGGTAGAGTGCTTGCCTAGCACGTGTGAGGCCCTGGGTTCAATTCTCAACACCACATAAAAATAAATAAGATAAAGGTATTGTGTCCAACTACAACTAAAAAATAAATATTAAAAAAAATACAGAGCTATGCATGGTGGCGCATGCCTGTGATCACACCTACTTAGGAGGCTGAGGCAGAAAGGTCACAAATTCAAGGCTCCTTGGTTTCTTAGTGAGACCCCCATCTTGAAATAAAAAAGTAAATGACTGGGATATAGTTCAGTGGTAGAATACTTGTGTGAGGTCTAGAGATTAATCCTCAGTACCACAAGCAAACAAAACCCTCCAAATTTAATACAGAAATGTATATAGAAAAATATATCACCTTAAATCCTATCTCCAAAAAATTCTTGTCACCACAATACTAGTTGTTAGCATATCCTCCTTATGAGGGACTGATGTAGGCACATATAGTCTCTAGTACAGAATCATCTTTTATCTTTCCTCCTTTCTTACTCAAGAGTAAAATAATTAACTATTTTTCCCTTGATCACCCAGTTAAGGTAGTGTTGGTCCATATAAAGTTAATCTTTTTGTCTCTTTTTCCTTCCTTCCCACCCTTCCCTTCTTGCCTGCCTGCCTGCCTGTCTTCTTACCTTCCTTCTTTCCCTCTCTCCATCCCAGAGGATTGAACCTAGGGGCAGTCTACCACTGAGCTATACCCCCAGCCATTTTTATTTTGAGACAGGGTCTCTTTATGTGGCCCAGGCTGGCCTTGAACTTTTAATCCTTCTGCCTCAGCTTCCCTTTTAGTTAGAATTACAGGTGTGCCACCATACTGAGCTTATTTTTTTCTTTTTAAGCTGTCTATATGGCATTTTGTATGGATACTGAAATTTATATAGATATGTCACTCTTTAAAGAGACTAGTCTGTCTCCCATCTGTTTGTTAATTAATTTTATCTTTGATGTAAGTGTGGATTCGTGAGTATTTTTTTCATACTTTGAGTTATGATTTAATAGAATTTATTTTGTGGTTAAAATTTTTCAGTTTTAACCACTGAGAACTCTTTCAATTGCTTCCTATGACTCTTGGATATTCTTTATCCTTGTGGCCCCTCCCCTCTCCTCCTTTTATACTAAGGGTAGAACCCAGGGTCTCATGCATACTAATCAAGTATGCTACACCCGCAGCCCCATCTTATCCTTTTTAAAAAATATATTCTAGCATTGCTTATTTCTTGCTTTTGTTGAGCAATAGTTTATAGTGACTCTGGAAACTGAACAGAAGGATCACAAGTTCAAGGCCAGTCTTGTCAACTTAGCAAGACCCTATCTCAAAGTTAAAAAAAAAAAAATGGGGAGGGGCTAGGGATGTGGCTCAGTGGTACAATGCCTCTGTGTTCAGTCTCCATACCAGGAAAAAAAAAAGAAGTTTGTGGTTATTGTTTAAATCTACTTTTTTTCCTTTCATATTTTTTATTAGTACATTATACATAATTTGGGTTCATTTTGACATAATTATGTAAGCATGGAATATAATTTGCTCTGATTCAGTCCCCAGTACTTCCCCTTTCCCTACCCTCCTCCCTCTCCCTTTTCTCCTTTTACTTTACTGGTTGTCTTCTACTTTTTGGTTTTTAATTAGTGCTTTATAGGTATACATGAAGGTGAAATTCATTGTGGTATATTTGTTTATGGACATAGGTTTGTTCATTTCATTCCAGAGTTCCTCCCTTTTCCCATCCCTCCTCTCTCTCKCTCAATCCCCTACCTCTACTCCACTGATCTATTCTATATTCATGGGATTCCACCCCCACATTTTTTTTCTTTCTTCTTCTTCTTCTTTTTTTTTTCAAAAGGCACACTGTGAAGTTTATTTTGTCTGCTTTCTTGCCAAGACCCAAAGAGGTTAAGTGACTTGTCTCAAGTCACACAGCAAGCAAGTGGCAGAGTTAGACCCAAACTCAGCTCTCCTGATAAGCAGCTAGTGATAGTTGAGGGCTTTGTCTTTTTCTTCCTGTCCAATGCCTGAGATTCAGGGGGAAAAAAAATAGTGTGCTTTTCACCTTATAATCTGGCCCCCCATGGAAGTGTGGTGGGGAGACTTAGTTCTCCATATTTGGGGGATCAGAAAGGGTCATCTGGGACTCTTTCAGCCCTTATTTTGCTCTATCTTGGGGGATCAGAAAGGGTCATCTGGGACTCTTTCAGCCCTTATTTTGCTCTATCTTCCACATATGAGACAAAAGATTTGACCCTGGAATTTCTGCGTATGGTTTATTTCACTTGCCATGATTTCTCCAGTTCCATCCATTTACCAGCAAATTCCATAATTTCATTCTTTATAGCTGAGAAACTCCATTGTGTATATATATACTGCATTTTCTTTACCTGTTCATCTGTTGATGGACACCTAGGTTGGTTTCATAACTTGGCCTTTGTGAATTGTGCTACTATAAACATTGAAGTGGCTTTATCATTGTAGCATGCTGATTTTTAGATCTTTTGGATAACTACCAAAGAGTGGGATAGCTGGATCTTATGGTGATTCATTTCCAGTTTTTTGAAGACTCTCATTCTGATTTCCAGAGTGGCATAATTGGCAGTCCTACCAATAATACATGAGTATGCACCTTTTCCTCCACATCCTGGCCATCATTTATTATTATTTGTATTCTAGATAATTGCCATTCTGACTGAAGATAAAGTCTCAATGTAGGTTTTTTTTTTTTTTTTTTTTTTTTTTGTACCAGGGATTGAACCCAGAGGCATTTAACCATTGAGCCACATCCTCAGCCCATTTTATTTTTTATTTTGAAATAGGATCTCACTAAGTTGCTAAGTTGTTGAGGCTGGCTTTGAACTTTTGGTCCTTCTGCCTCAGCCTCCCAAACCATATGGGCCACTGCACCTGGCTCAGTGTAGTTTTGATTTGTATTTCCTTAATTGCTAGAGAAGTTTTCCATTTTTTCATGTATTTGTTGGTCATTTGTATTTCTTCTTTTGAGAAGTGTCTGTGTAGTTCTTTTGCCCTTTTATTGATTGGGTTATCCTTTTGCATGTGTGTTAAGTTCTTTATATATTCTGTATATTAATTCCCTGAGGAACAGATGACAAAGATCTTCTTTCTGAGTTTTTTTATATATTCTGGATATTAATTCCCTGAGGAACAGATGACAAAGATGATCTTCTATTCTGTAGGCTTTCTCTAGTTTCTTCTCTAGTTTCCTTTGCTGTGCAGAAGCTTTTTAATTTGATGCCATCCCACTTATTTTTGGTTTTATTTCTTATGCCTTAGGAGTCTTGTTAAGGAAGCTGATGCCTATGCCAACTTGGAGGAGTGTTGAGCCTACATTTTCTTCTAACAGTTGCAGAGCTTCTATTCTAATTCCTAGGTCCACTTTGAGATGGCTTTTGTGCAGGATGAGAGATGGAGATCAAGTTTCTTTCTTCTGCATATAGATATTCTATTTTTTCCAGCATATTTATTTAAAAGGCTATCTTTTCTCCAGTCTATATTTTTGGTACCTTTGTTAATTATCAGAAAACTGTATCTATGTGGATTTATCTCTGTGTTTTCTGTTCTATCCCAGTGATCTTGTCTGTTTTGGTGGCAATACTGTGCTGTTGCCTCTAGCATTTCTCTTCTTGCTTAGGTTTGCTTTGGCTGTTCTGGGTCTTCCAAATGAATTTTAGAACTGTTTTTTCTTAAAATATGGAATGCTTTATAAATTTGTGTGTCATCCTTATGCAGGGGCCATCCTAATCTTCTCTGTCTCACTCTAGTTTTAGTATATGTGCTGCTGAAGCGACCACTGTTTTTTCTAATTCTGTGAAGACTATCATTGGTATTTTGATGGGGATTGCATTGAATCTATATAAAACTTTTGGTAGTATGGCCATTTTGACAATATTAATTCTGTCTTTCAATGAACATGGGAGGTATCTTCTAAGGCCTTCTTCAATTTCTTTCTTCAGGGTTCTGTAGTTTTCATTGTAGAGGTCTTTGACCTCCTTGGTTAGATTTGTTCTCAAATGTGTGTGTATTTCTTAGTTTATTTTTTGAGATTATTGTGAATGGTTTTCTGGGCTCATAAAGATCTACTTTTAGGGCTTGGGTTGTGATTCAGGGGTATAGAGAACTTGCCTTGCATGCATGGGGCACTGGGTTTGATCCTCAGCACTACATAAATAAATAATATAAAGGTATTGTGTCCATCTACAAAAAAAAAAAAAACTACTTTTATTTTTTATTTATTTTTTTTATTTTTTATTTTTTATTGGTCGTTCATAACATTACATAGTTCTTAAAACATCATATTACACGGTTTGATTCAAGTGGATTATGAACTCCCGCTTTTACCCCGTATACAGATTGCTGTATCACATC